CGTGTTGTCACTAAACCTGGTGCGGTCTTGAGAATGTGACACTTTAGAAACACCAAAAGTAACTGTTTTGTCCTTGGGTACTCCTTTTCCATAGGAATCCCACAGATAGCACAAGTTTCTTATTATGGTTTGGCCACCATTTTTTTACATCAATAATATACTCAGTTTTGGGTTTTCTAATTTCAAGTTTTTCGCTTGCTTCAGCTATAAGATTTTCATACTCTGTTGGTGTGTAAATCCGATAATTTTTTCGAATATGTCGCTTTGCTGTTCCAAACATTCTATCATTAGGCAAGAATGAGTCACCTCTTTTTGGTATGTAATATTGTATCTTAATTATATTGCTATCTAGATCAGCTACCATTGATAAAAGTATTCGGACCATGGCATGATTTCTGTTTTGGCCTGCACAACCACCAGAAAATAGGTGCAATTTTTTGGCTTCGTTGCCAATATTTTTTAAAATATGATCCAGCACAAAGGTACATACTTCGTTGGATTTTTTGCTAGCAACTCCTTCACAATATGAATGAAATACTGATTTACCAGTTTTAAAGTCATATATGCAAAACTCTTACAGCCATAGTTGACGTAGATAAAATATTTCCTGGACAGGGATATGTGGAAGTGGCAAATTTTGCATAAAATCAAATGCAATCCCATACACATCTAGATCGTTTTTTTACTTAGTTTTAACTTCCTGTATTTTTTTGTAAAATTTGTTTGCTTGCCTTTTGTGGATCTCAATATCTACTTGATATTGATTCTTTTTGATTCTTTTTGCATTGTCATTAAGGTGTGGGTTTTTTAGTTTAATTTTTAACTCTTCGCACAGTCTACAGACATCTATTTGATTTCTACCAAATGATAAACTAAAATTTTTTTGGAAAAATTTAAGGTAGAACTTATTTTTAACATGATCTAGATATTTTTGTGCGTATAACGTGTGCATAATTTTCACATTTTATAGCGTAATTTTCACATTTTACAGGGTGTAACGTGTGCATAATTTTTAGTTTTTCATCCAAATAATAAGATGATGCATCTTTACTATAGTAGTGCACATATTTAACAGGAAATGATTCGATATGCTCACGTACTTTTTTTAATGTATCTCCAGGTATTGCGTTGCATTGTGATCCCTGAGATTTACCTCTGTGATCTATAGGCTGCTCTTTTTTTTTTTTTTAAATAAAATGCATAAACCTCTAACTTGTTTCATAGAAATTCCATGCATACTGCAAAAAGCTTTCTTGCATACTTTTTTTATTACACCTTCAACATTAATGCGGTTAATAAAAGAAAATTCATTTTCCTTAACGGGTTATGCATAAGTCTTCGAACTTTTTTTATAGAGTCGTAAAAAAATATTGTTATTTAGATAAAAAAATGAAACTATATGGTAATAAAGAACATTCATTCTAGTATTTATTAACATATTTAACATATTGAATAGACGCCTCTATCAGCGATTTTTCAAAGTTTTGTTTTAACACTCATCATTAGTCTTTGTAACAGATCTGGATCATTTTCTTTTATTTCATTTAATTTGCTCTTTATTCTTCGAACTAGTTGATATATGCTACGTGCTCTCCAACCATCACTGTATACCATCTGACTTAAAATATCCAAAAATGTTTCAATTGGTCTAGCCTGTGGAACATTTGGTGGATTAGTGCATTTTTGTACAAACTCTATTGAATTATCAATAAACCAATTTTCTGTTTTATTAGCATAATGAGCAGATGCAAGATCTGGCTTTTCTTCATACATTCTTTCACATATATATTAGATGTTACTGAATTCTTTGATCTATGTATATAAGTTTCACAAAATCTATTCGAAGAAATGCAAATCCAAACCAATACCTTTTCTTCAAATTTTTTTTTCAACTTATATTTTACATTATCAGGGGCTAACAATTTATTATTTGTATAATATATATCATTTCCAGGTATATTTGAGTTTGATAGGTTAAAATATTTTTCGTCATCTGTGATTATATTTTTTTCATGGAATACTTTATTAACTAATCTTCTCGATGTTGTTGCTGGTCTCTGTTGTTGATCTTTTTCATACAAAGGTACTTTTTGTTTTTTGTAGCATTTAATATCTGTTTTGAAATTAATAGTTCTTGAAATTGTGTTTTGGTTCACCTTAAAATATGAAGCTAAATACTTTTGACTAATACCAGTTGAATTATTTAGCATTTTAGTCAATCGTTTGACTTTTTTCTTATCCATTTTTGGAGGACAACCTGATCTAACCAAATCATTATAGTTCTCATACCTTGCAAGAATACTAAATATAGTTGACTTTGGTATTCCTTTATTTTTAAAATGTTTATATGTTAATTTCTTTTTATCACTTGAACAATTTTCATAGAACGTTACAATTCGTTTTGCGAGGGCTTCTCGATCAAACCTTGTCATTTTTTTTGTGTAGAAGTCTAGATAAAAATTAAAAGTGATTTAAATACATTAATGTTTGATCTTCAAAATAAACAATAAGTTGAAGGTTGAAAAATTACTCTCCTTATTTAAATCAGTTTCAAAAAAAGTTCGAAGACTTATGCATAACCCGTTAGGTTCTTCAGATCTAAACCGTCTTCTTTTTATTTCCTGTTTTTTAATTAATGACTGCAAGTATGGGTCTTGGGCATTTTTACTACCAAATCTGTTAACAAACTGAATTGTACTTTTCTATAACATCTTCAGATACAAGCTTCATACACTTCGAACTACATCTGTAAATAAATAGAATTATTGAGTTAATATTATAATAATTATATATCAAGATATTTTAACTCAAATATTGGTGGTAAAACATGAGTAAATAAGCAAAAATTTGAGAACGAATATAGTCATTCTGAAATTACGTCACTACAGTTGCGCTTCGTTACACTTGAAAAGGGCATAAGTCCGGGACTTGTGCCATTTTCAAACAGGTTTTAATTTTCATTTGCATTTTAAGTTAACTTGTGGCATATGAAAATGTTTCTCCATCAAAGGGAATATGTAAAACACTTGAATAAATAAAATTGCATTAAAAAGTGAATTTCAAAAAAATGTGACTTGTGCCCTTTTCGAAATGACGGGTTCAATTATAAAGTAGTAGAAAATCACTTAGTAAAATTTTTTCATTTTACACTGTGTTTCATCAATAAAGACTCATCAGAAAATTTCTGATGAGTCTTTGTTGATGAAACACAGTGTAAAATGAAAAACATTTTTGCTAAGTGATTTTCTACTACTTTATAATTGCTCAGTTCTTTTAAGAACATTGAGCACTCTATTTTGTAGAATACATTTTAAAATTGTTTAAATATATTAGATGTGTTTTTTACTAAATTATTGCTGCTCTGTTCTTTAAGAACATTGAGCACTCTATTTGTAGTATACACTAACATAATTTATATATGTATATATATATATATATATATATATATATATATATATATATATATATATATATATATATATATATATATATATATATATATATATATATATATATATATATATATATATATATATATATATATATATATATATATAAATAATATATATATATATATATAATATTATATATATATATATATATATATATGTACATATATATATATATATATATTTATATTTATATAAGTGATTAATAAGCTAAATGATTTTCTACTACTTTATATATACTTATATATATATATATATATATATATATATATATATATATATATATATATATATATATATATATATATATATATATATATAAATATATATATATATATATAAATATATATATATATATATATATATATATATATATATATATATATATATATATAAATATATATTTTCTACTACTTTATATATACTTATATATATATATATATATATATATATATATATATATATATATATATTATATATATATATATATAAATATATATATATATATATAAATATATATATATATATATATATATATATATATATATATATATATATATATATATATATATATATATGTATATATATATATATATAAATTAGTAGAAAATCACTTAACAAATAAATTGTTTAAATATGTATATATATATATATATATATATATATATATATATATATATATATATATATATATATATATATATATATATATATATATATATATGTATATATATAAATTAGTAGAAAATCACTTAACAAATAAATTGTTTAAATATATATATATATATATATATATATATATATATATATATATATATATATATATATATATATATATATATATAAATTAGTAGAAAATCACTTAACAAATAAATTGTTTAAATATGTATATATATATATATATACTTATAAGTATATATATATATATATATATATATATATATATATATATATATATATATATATATATATATATATATATATATATACTTATAAGTATATATATATATATATATAAAATTAGGTTTTAGATTTCTATACAAAGTTTTCTTAACAAAATATACTGTGGATACTTTAGAGAAAATTTGCATCGTGATATTTGGGTGAGATCACAAGAATTGTAAAAAGAGATACTGCAAGCTCATGTGATTCTGTGAATTTTTTAATTTGAAAAGAAACTTTAAAAAATGAAACTTTAAATATAATAATCTATGATGAAACTAAACGTTCTAACTACCCAAAATTAAAATAAATAATATTACAAAAAGGTACTAAACACGCTTAAAAAGGTATGAATACGTCAAAATCACTAATGTCTATATTGTTTACATGTACTGTTAACGGTGTATTTCTTCCTCTATATACAGTGTATAAAGCTGAATATCTGACGGACACTTGGATACTTGAAGGTCTAATTAAAGTACAAAATTACAGGAAAAATTCTGATTAGTTTAACGGCTACTGTTTTTGGAAACTGACTGCAAACATAATTAAAACCTTAAAAATATTGCCAACTACAAGCTAGGGTTGTTAACCGGAGGATTTCGTGCA